TTTAAACAATGCAAATAATATTTTAGTATCTTTTCATTGATATTTTACATATATTATGAAAAACACATATATACTGATGATCAAAAAGTACTATAAACCAATGACGGGATATGATTTCAATTTAGAATGAAGAAGTAATTACACTCTTGATCAACACAAGCAAAGCTTTAACAAGTATCCTTACTATGGTATTTTATTAATAACATTTTATGAAAACTTATTCATATAGTGACTTTGAAATACATGAATACTGAAAAGGCTACTGATTTCAAATGATGGCATTTTGTCATTTTTGTCGAGCCTGCGACTTTAGTCGCTGAAAGCTTGACATAGGGATAGTGATCCGGCAGCGGCGGCGTTAACTAACTTCTTAAAAGCTTTTATATTTTAGAAGCTGGAAGACATGGATGCTTCATACTTTGTATATAGATGCCTTATGTTACAAAGTATCTGTCTGTCAAATGTCCATTGTCCTTGACCTCATTTTCATGGTTCAGTGACTACTTGAAAAAAAAGTTAAAATTTTTCGTAATGTTAATTTCCCTCTTATAATGAGTAATAGGATAACTAAATTTGGAATGTGTGTACCTTGCAAGGTCCTCATGCCCGTCAGACAGTTTTCACTTGACCTCGACCTCATTTCATGGATCAGTGAACAAGGTTAAGTTTTGGTGGTCAAGTCCATATCAGATACTATAAGCAATAGGTCTAGTATATTTGGTGTATGGAAGGATTGTAAGGTGTACATGTCCAACTGGCAGATGTTATCTGACCTTGACCTCATTTTAATGGTTCAGTGGTTATAGTTAAGTTTTTGTGTTTGGTCTTTTTTTTTATACTGTATGCAATAGGTCTACTATATTTGGTGTATGGAATGATTGTAAGGTGTACATGTCCAAATGACAGGTGTCATCTGACATAAATTAGGCTGTTAGTTTTCTCGTTTGAATTGTTTTACATTGTCATTTCGGGGCCTTTTATAGCTGACTGTGCGGTATGGGCTTTGCTCATTGTTGAAGGCCGTTCTGTGACCTATAGTCAGTCAAGGGTGTAACTTGAATAAGTTATTAGATAAAAATAACATACATGTGTTATTACAGATACTTTCTCTTAATCTGTAGTAACATATGTTTGTTATCAGTTAAATGTACCATAATAATTTTTATTTTCAGTGAGCAATTGGGAATTCTTGAAACTTGCGCAGTAACTTAATACATATTTCTTGAAAACTAATTTTCTAATTCAATTAATACATTTTTGATCAACCATGGTAAATCAATGACACAAGACTTTTAAGTGATAACTTAGCTGTAATAACAAGGCTTAGTTATTACAGGCATTTAACTTATTACATGAGACACTTGGGAATGACTAGGTAGCTTGCGCAGAACCTCATTACATGCTCTTATCATTATTTATTACAATAAATTAAAATACATTGTTATATATTTAGGAGAAAAGGCTTTGAAGAGATGCAGAGAAGCTGTAATAACACCCTTTAGTTATTACAGGCATATTTTTTCTGTAATAACATGGGTGTGTTATGCATGATTGTCAAACTATGGGCTGTTATATCTTTCTAAAGTTTAATGTACATAAAGACAATTATAATATCAATAGAACTAGTACACAATTTAACAAAATAAAGGATGTATAATGTCCCTTTGAAGCATGTAACATACATATGTTATCACAGATTTTTGATTTTTTAGCCCTCAATAACAAATGTATGTTATTTTTCTCTAATAACTTATTTAAGTTAGACCCTTATAACATACCTGCCAACCCTCCCGTTTTGAGCGGGAGACTCCCGCTCAAATGGCGAAAAACGGGAAATCTCCCGCTTGCCGGTACCCTCCCGCGCGGGAGTATAGAATCTCCCCCTTTGGGATATTTTAACCTTGAATGACAAGTCAACAGTAATTACGTTTTTGTCTCACTGATTAAGGTTGTAATTACCTGTAAATCACAGACCATGTGAAATTAAATGGCTTCACTTGACAGCTTGGGTGTCAAACATAGTACTAATTATAATAGTTAACAACTTTTGAAGCAAAACACTTCAAAGAAATTTCGGGTTACTTCCCCTGTTTAATCTTGTTTTAAGTTACCCTTCTTAAAATAATGTGATAAAACAATATAAACTAAATACAAATTAAACAAAGAATCATAAAAGAAGGGCAATTAAAAGATTTTGTATGCCTTAAGACAAAAAAAATAATTATATTTTAAAAATCACTTAAAAGATCTATACTTCTATCAATGTTTATATTGAAATTAATTAGATATGTATTGAATCAATTTTAGTCAAATAAATAAGTGCACACACAAAATGCACCTGTGACAATATGATTGCTCTCTTATAACAGAGGTGTCTGGGGTGAAAGTTGTCTGGAAGTGATTCAAATGTCAAAGTTGATGAAATAGGAAAGAAACAAACAACACACCTTCTGTAGGATATAACCATATTTAAAGAAACAAAATATATCTATAAACTCCTATATGTGTTTCGTAGATAAATAAATAAATGCGTCATATATTTCACTTGAAAATGTCGTTCGCGCAAAATCTCCCCCTCAGCTGTCATAGCTGAGAGGGAGATCTCCCTCTTTGAAGGTTTCAGAGGTTGGCAGGTATGCTTATAATAATAATAATAATAAATTCTTTATTTAAAGAGGGTAAACTCAGTGAATTACAATAAACTAATCTTCCCTGAGGCCCTCACATACAAATTACAATACAATCAAAAACAGATATTTACATATAGTTAATTTACAGTCAATTAGTTCAATGTAATATTACTAACATGATAAGATATAAGGCTGTTCAAGATGTACATGTAGTCAAAAAATCAAATACAAATAAAAATAAAAGAATATACAAATACATTGTAGAAAACATAATCTTATCAGGACTGTGTTAAGTACTTCTTGATACTTTGTTTAAAAGTATAAGTGTTTTGAGCTTTACGCATTTTGTGTGGTAGTCCATTCCATAACACTGATCCAGAATAAACAAAAGATTTCTTAAATAGCTCAGCTTTTGGCTTAGGAACTATCAGATTACCTTGAGTGACGCCTCTCTAAGGGAGTAAGGATTATTATCTGATTTCAGTTTAAACTTTTGAACTAGGTACATTGGTGCTTCCATACGCATAAATTTATATAGAAGTAAATATTTGTGGTATTTTATTCTATTGTCAACTGTCATCCACCCAAGTTCTTTAAATAAGGGGGCTGAGGGGGATAAAGGAACTGCATCTAGAATTAATCTTGCTGCCCTTTTTTGGAGTTTTAAAATTCTTGCTATCCCTTCATATTTACATTTACCCCAAATAATACAGCAGTAGTCAATCAGGGGCAGAATATACCCATTGTAATATGTTTTCCTTGCATTTATATCTAAAAATTTCTTTATTTTAGAAAGAAGGTATATTCTGGATGATATATTAGCACAAACTTGGTCAATTTGATTTCTCCAGTTAAGTGTGCTGTCAATTTTAACACCTAATAATTTTTCATAATACTTTTGAATCTATTATAAAGTTTGGTTGATAAGTCTGAATTGATAGTTTCTGCCTTGACTGATAGTTGTTAATTTCTGTGTCATTTGGTCTCTTGTGGAGAGTTGTCTCATTGGCAATCCTACCACATCTTCTTTTTTATATTGACCTCATTTTCATGGTTCAGTAGTCAAAGTTAAGTTTTTGAGTTTTGGTCTTTTTTTCTAATACTATATGCGATATGTCAACTATATTTGGTGTATGGAAATATTTTATAATGTACATGTCAGTCTCGCAGGTTTTATTTGACCTTGACCTCACAGTTTTCACAGTTCATTGCTCAGTGTTGAGTTTTTGTGTTTTGGTCTGTTTTTCTTAAACTATAAGCAATAGGTCAACTATATTTGTTGTATGGAAGGATTGTAAGGTGTACATGTCTGCCTGGCATGGTTCATCTGACCTCATTTTCATGGGTCATTGGTCAATGTTTAGTTTTATTGGTTAAGTCTGTTTCTTAGAAACTATAAGCAATAGGTCAACTATATTTAGTGTATTGAATGATTGTAAGGTGTACATGTATTTCTCGTTTGGTTTTTTATGACCTTGACCTCATTTTCTTGGATCAAGTTAAGTTTATGTGATAGTTGTAGTAAAGCTTTATATTTAGGACTATCAACATAATATCAATGGTTAGTAAAGAAGGTGAGACATTTCAGCATGTGCACTCTTGTTAAATTATGCAGAAAGCATGTCATTCTGCAATTATGTGATTTATTTAGCAGAAAAATAAAAAAAAAAAAATAATGAAATAATTACAAAATGCATGAAAAGTAATTTATATATTTTCATGCCCCTTCTGCAGCGCAGAGGGCATTAAGTGTTACCCTTGTCCGTCCATACGTCTGTATGTACGTACGTTCCAAAATTAGTTTCCGTTCTCTAACTTTAGGTTGACTCAACCAAATGTTATGAAACTTATACACAATGCTTATTACCTCGAATTTGGGTGTTCTCACTATTACCGTTCTAGAGTTATGCCCCTTTACAAATGGAAAAATTGCAGAATTTTTCGTTTCCATTATCTAACTTTAGTTTGCTTCAACCAAATGTTATGAAACTTAAACTTAATGTTCATTACTATAAAACACAGATCAAGTTTGAATTTGGGTGGGGTCACTTTAACAGTTCTCTAGCATTCTAGTTATGTACCTTTATAACCTTATATGCAAGTGGGGGCATCATCTCCATTTATTTATTTTCATATGTCATTGCAACCAAGTTGAGTACAAATTACCCGGTAAAGGTCTCTTCACTATTCTCTTCGTAGTAGTGATGAATAATCATGCCAAGTTTCATTATCGAACTCCATGAGAGTTTAAAGTTAGAGAGGAGAAACAGTTTGTAAAAGACAGACAAATTGATTTTATGGCCTTCCGCTGATTTAAACTAAATATTGCATTTTATAAATGGATTATAAATTATGATAAATTTTTTGTAGATGAATATGAAAAACAGGCAGGTACACACTGGGATACATTTTATGGAATTCATCAAAACAGATTCTTTAAAGATAGAAATTGGTTGTTTACTGAGTTCCCAGAGTTGTTGCCTCCTCCTGATGAGGGTTGTGGAAATAACATTAAACCTCAAGAGACATGTGTTGTAAATGATTCCAGCTTTAACTTATTAGAGGTATAGTTTTTGTTAAATCAGAATGTTCAAGTTTGAAAATGAAATAGTGCTAGAAAACTGAACAATTTTTGCTGATCTAGTATACATTTTTGTTTAGGGGCCAGCTGAAGCCCGCCTCCAGGTGCAAGATTTTCTCGCTGTGTTGAAGACCCATTGGTGGCCTTGAGCTGTTTTCTGCTCTTTGTTCAGGTTGTTGTTTCTTTGACACATTCCCTGTTTCCATTCTCAATTTTAACTATTTATTTTAACATTTAAAATGCAACAATTCCCTATTAAATTGAACCACTTTACAAGTGAGACAAGACCAACAGCTTTCACGAATTTTGCTCAAAAAAGATAACTTATAGCAAAGAAGTTTTAGCTAGATAAGTCATCGCTTGTGATAAGGTACATATCCTTGAATAATAAATGAGCTGTAGTCTCACAGATGACAAACAAAAAAGGGGTTTTGCTCTTAATTATATTCATTAGAATCCTTAAAATTACATGAAACATATTTTTTTATTGATATCTATAAATTGTGCCGCTTTTTAGTTCTTACCTCAGAACATGAAGTTCGTAGATACTACCTCTTCAATATATCCAGTTTATATTAAGAATCGAAAGATGTGTTGCATGTTGTAATTCTATGGCATCATTAGCGGGGTTAGATGATGTCTTAAACCGTGTTATAAACCGTACTGTGACCTATAGCTATAATGGTTTACTTTTATAAATTTTGACTTGGATGGAGAGTTGTCTCATTGGCACTCATACCACATCTTCTTATATCTATATAGTATGGTGATTTCAAGGGAAGGGTGGGTTGGGAATCCACTGAAACTTCACAGGAAGGTTGTACATAGGTTGAAGTTGTGTATCTTTATATGGAAGTGTTTGAGGATAGATCCCTGAAACTTCACAGCACTACTGCATAGTCACCCATTAATTGGCCATTAATAGCTACCATTAAATTACCATTAAAATTTCATTAAAAAAAATATTTAAAATCCCTCAAAGGTACATAATTAAGACCCATTAAATCAGTGTTCTTTATGTTAAAAACCATTGAATTACAGTTAATGGCCTTAAATTTTGACAGTATTAAACCCATTAAATATATATTTAATAGTCTATTAATCAGGACAAAATGAAAGCCATCAAAATTCTGTTTAATGGGCATTATTTTGACAAAATAAACCCCATTAAAATATATTTCATGGCCATTACATTGTAGGTTTCAACCCATGAAATTTACAACCAAAATTTAATGCCCATTAAAACAGTTCTATTTAACGCCCATTGAGAAACAATAAATTAATGGTCATTTAAAAAAAATAATGGGAAATTAAAACTTAATAGCCATTATAGGTACAATATTAAGACCCGTTAAATCAAAATTACCGAAATTAATGGGTATTGGCCATGTTTAATGGCTTATTTAAATTGCTGTCAAATTCCCATTAAAATAAAACCGCCTTGTATTCAATGATATGGTCCCTACAGTTTAAGAATTAGGGGCCAAAAAGGGGCCCTAATAAGCATTTTTCTAGTTTCTAGACAATAACTTGTGGAACAGTGTATGGAATTGTCTGAAATTATACCATACCACAAAGGGATGGTAAGAATTGGCTTTGGGGGTTATGGCTCAAATCATTTAGGAATTAGTGGCAAAAGAAGGTGGAAAACAAGGGTTTCCAGGTTAATGGACAATTACTTAAGTACAAAACATAATTTAAAAGCAGTGTAAGGGAGGTAATTCAAACACAACATTGACAATGTGTTTGAATTACCTCCCTTACATTGCTTTTAAATTATGTATAAAGAAATGTATTGTCTTGAGGTGATTAGCTTTAAATTAATTTTTTGAAATTACTATTTTAAAAATAAAAGGTAATTTAATTTTAGCCATAATTATGTATGTCATTTTTTATTTTAAGACTTTTATGATGTATTTAAATGGGTTATTATGGTTGCAAACTCCATTGGAAATTTGACAATAACTTAAGTATAAGTAAATATAAATCTATGAAATTTAAACACAAGGTTTGAAACCACAAAAGGAAGCTTTACAATGATTTTGGGGGTTATGGTCCCTACTGTTTAGGAATTAGGGGTCAAAAAGGGGTCCAAATAAGCATTTTTCTAGTTTCCAGACAATAACTTGTGGAACAGTGTAAGGAATTGTCTGAAATTGTACCACAAGTTTCCACACCACAAGAGGATGGTTAGGATTGGCTTTTGGGGGTTATGGCTCAGTCTGTTTAGGAATTAGGGGCAAAAAAGGGGGAAAACAAGGGTTTCCTGGTTAATAAAAATTACTTAAGCTTTGTTTCTTTAATTTATGTTGGTACTTTTTGCTTTTTGTTTGCTAGTTCTAGTATGAAGTATTTTTTAGCTGTTTCTAGAAACATCAAATACTGTGATTTAAATACATATAATATTATAATAGTGTATATCAAAGGGTTCAGTGGTAATACATTTTTATACTCAGAATTGGTTATTCTTTGTTTGGGTTTATTTTTTGCATTAGAGTTAATTACCTCCCTTACAAACTGTTTGATTTCAACTAAATTTAAATTTTTGGGTTTTTTGTATATGCTGAATCTAACCATGTTGTTAAATTTTTGATATCAGACCATCCTTGGTAAATTAAATGTCCTATTTCAAATTTTTAAGATCTTTGACCGCATTTATTTTGTGTCAGAAACCTGTATTATGTCAACAAATTTGATCACAATTCAAATTCAGACAGTATCAAGCTTGAATATTGTGTCCAAACTTGCCCCAACTGTTCAGGGTTCGACCTCTGCTGTAGTATCAGGCTGTGCTGAGCGAAGCATTTTATTGTATACTGATTCCAAAAATATCTGGTTTCTATACACTGTTGTTTGAACTAAATGAGATAATATGTTACTTCCAGTTTGAAAAATGTAATTTTCGCTATTTTTTTATAGTTTACTTGACACTGATTCCAAAAATACATGGTTCTATATTCTTTTACATTAAATTTTAAAAAAAAATAGCTACTTCCGGTTTACACAAGGTCACATCCGGTTGGCTTTTTCAAGGTCATATGGCTTGCAACCTAATGCAAAAAGTCCCATGGCTTTATCATGTATACATAGGAAATAAAAGCAAAGGTCAAAATCTAGAACGTCAAATTTATATAGGACCTTGACCTTAATTTAATGATCATAAACCAAGGACCTCAAATCAAAAGACACCAGGTCTTTATTATGTATGGTTAAAGTGATATATCATAATACGCATAATTCTTAATATAATAGCGGAGAAAACTCCCATTTGATGTCAACATACCCTTTCAACCAAAATGTATGTGTTACAACATGTTGCAACTAACAATTGAGTTTTAATATGTTGTCACGGTTTTTGAAAAGAGTGAAAATAAGCCAAAATCAAAATTTTGAATATGACCTTGACCTTTGACCTTGACCTAATTTTCTTTTTTTGGACCAAGTACCTCAAAAGACCCTAGGTCTCACTATCACTTATGGTTTACCAATTACAAATGCATATCACTTATATCAAATGCATAAGGGGAAATAACTCTCATAGGGGTCTCTATACCGCTTCAGTCAAAATTAAACAAAACATCCTGAGGATATAACGAGCCATTTGAAAAAATAAATTTGTCATAATCTTTTACGGTTGCAAAGGAGATGCACACACAAGAAAAACAGTGTTCCGGGAGATATCTCTTACAAAGAAAATTGTTCAGCTTAGCAGGGTCAAATTTTAAAGTGCATAAACTGTTTGATAACTTGTACCAAATATCTAAACGACATGTTGCGAAACAAAATTAACACACAAGAAACAAATTTGGCGGAAGAAAAAAAAAAAAAAAAAAATATAAATCAATTGCTTTAAAAAGCAATTGTAAACGGTCTTTCCCCCTTCTGAAACATGATTGATTGATATATGTGTATGTTTATTTGTTTGTTTCTTTTTTTCTTTCTTTAAAGGGTCCATATTAGTGTGTTGGTTAAGTTTCTATATTTAGTTTGGAAATTTTTTATTCTATTTCAGGGTCCGCGCACGTCTTTGTCTCTCGCCAGGTTGTGGCGTCACGTGACGAGGCTTTATATTAGCTAAAACTTAGTATTTTTATTTCTTTTTAAGGTGGGACGTTAAACAGACAACATGTATAGCGACGGAATTTACACAACGTATTTCTTTTGTCATTGTAGGTAATTGACATTTTGATCACAGTTTACGAGCAGTGCATGCTTTTGATTTAATTGATCCTGTGTAATTTTAAAACACGTTTGTTGATTATTTTCATATAATGTACATTTTTCAGTAGCAGTTTGTAACACAGATTTGTATTTCAATCAAGGAGCGGACATTTTATTGTAGGATTTCACTGAGATTTACAGAACTAGCAAGCGATTTTTACGGCATTGCAATTTCTTTTCTCTAGGAAAATTCTTGAAAGATATCTGCACCACGTTGTTTTATGAAGATGTAATACATGTATACCCTGCTGACTGCAAATTTTGGGGTCAATTGGACATGTAGTTTCAGAGAACATCTGATAACAAGCATGTGGATTTTTTTTTTTTCAGAACAGATGTAAGAACAATATTATATGGAAAAAAATGGAGTTGTCGTTCTTCTCCGTTGACAGAGTAGATAGCACATAGCTTCATACAAGAGTTGTAAGTGGAGGGTAAAAAAAAAAAGGGGGGGGGGGGGGCAAAAGGGGGTCCCAGGGAGACATTTTGTTATATAAACGGTACATGTAAGAATGGTTAAAAATGCCGATTTACAATATAAATCAATTGCTTTAAAAAGCAATTGTAAACAGTTTTCCCCCTTTTGAAACATGATTGATTGATATATGTGTATTTTTGTTTGTTTGTTTGTTTGTTTGTTTGTTTGTTTGTTTGTTTCTTTCTCTTTCTTTCTTTCTTTCTTTTTTTCTTTCTTTAAAGGGTCCATATTAGTGTGTTGATTAAGTTTCTATATTTAGTTTGAAAAGTTTTTATTCTATTTCA